ATTTTGCTTGATATCAACTTTTATTTTCATATAGGCTGTTTCACTGCAAGAATGTAATAAAGTGTGGTGAAATAAATAAATAGATTGTTTCCCTTTGTTCAACTTACAGAGGACAGGGTTTTTTTGGTTTTTTTGGACAGGTATCATCAGCCAAGACTAAGTTTGAGTTTAGGTACTTGCTGGAAGAATTTGATCCCAACTCACTTCTGAAAACCAGTCTAACCTTAACTTTTTAAAAATAAAACACAGAACAGAACTGTGTGGTTTTCTAAGAAAAGAGCTGAATGGGAAATGGGAAAATCAGCAGATATGGAAGCCATTTTCAGCTCTACAAGAACTTGTAAGGCTACTAAGGAAACAGCCACTTCAGTGCTCTTGCATGTATTTCCTTGATCTAAGGGGATTTTTTTTTTTTTTGAGCTCTATATTCTAGGATTCTTTGAAGTACATGTCTTCCATGGTAATATCTTAGTTTTCCTAATAACATGTTATTCCAGTAATTCTAATATATCCATGGGCCACGGTATGGTATTAATCAGTCAAATAAATAATGGAGGCTTCCCCTGTACTGAGTGGCTATCTTGAAATCTTAAGGAGTAATCTTTAATCTTGTCCTTAAACACAGAAAGACAAACAGTAATTTTTAAGAAAACACACCAAGGCACAAAGCTAGAATATAAAAGGAAATTAAAACAACACCTCAGTGGTTATTCTGCCAATGATACCAGTTGAAAAGTTGTTGCAGAAGACCAAGATCACTCCTTGATTTCAATTTCAAACATGAGGCAGCTCCCAAACAAACAAAAAAATGACTCACATTCAGTTTATTATCTTTGATAAATACCATTCTTGAACCTGCATTGTCTATTTAGATTTCTTCTCAGAATAGAGTTCCACAAAGCATAAAATAGAGCCTCCTGGGATTTATAAAAAGTTCAAATAATCAAAATGTTTTGAGGAAATATAAATTTACTCCTTCAAATATTTTATCATTTCAAAATAAACAAGATTTTAATAAGTAAAAGAGTAGCTGCTTTCTTAAAAGCAATCTACTCTAATGATATTTATTCAGAACCCTCAAATCTTATTATAGTAGACTATAACAGTAACAAATCTAGAATCTGATTCAATTCAACATATTTCTAATAATCTGGTTATTTATCATATTTTTGCTGGCTTTGGACAGAAAGCTTAGTACCACCATATAAATATATATATACTACTGTAAAGAAGTATATATGTAACCAAAGTCAGCACTGGCAATACAAACCTTAAAGCAATTATCCAAATGGGGCTACCTAAGCAATAGGCAATTAAAAAAGTCAAACAAGAGGTGCAAAAGAGTGGGGGGAGGGGGAGGTAGAGCATATCTTTTCATTGACAATGAAACAAATGGATGCGCAGCCAATCAATGCTTATCTGAATATATCATCTTTGTATCTAGCACTATACTGCAGTCTAAGAGTCACAGAGGTAATAAGATGCACATAACATTGCTTCATCTCCTCAGTAAGATTAGGGACCCACAAGAAATATTTAGAGAACAAAACAAGTCAGTGTCAACTTGTGTCCTAAAAATAATAAATCCTACCGAAATTCAGAAAGGACACAATATAAGAATGGAAAGGAATTAAGAGCCAAGAATCACCACGAATTAAAATTCATACTGGGATTTCTCCTTAAACCCACTCCCATTTAAAAATTTTAATCCCAAATGTAATTAACCACAAATACAACCACAACCTAGAAGTCTGTTTCCTCATCTGTGAAGTGAGGATGTTCAATTCAGAAGTGACTTATAGGTCAGGACCTGCAACAGACCTCAGAGGTCAGAAGAGTGATTAAGACGGAAACTTGTCTTTAAGAACTACATAAATGTTTAGTATGGCTACATGGGGACATTGATTCAAGTACAGTGAAGTGTTTGTGCTGAAGTGATCTGGCAAAGTGATTCTGAACCAGACCATGAAAAACCCAATTAAAGAACTGGAACTGGCCTTTGTGTCAAGCATTGTAACCTGTTAAAACTTTCAGGTTAAAAAGAAACTATATCATTGCCAAAAACCTACAATGTGTAGAAAGGGACTGCCACACACTAACAGCACAATGGCAAACTTAAGTAAGAGATTTAGTAACTCAGATTTAGTAACTCAGTTAACTGCTAGGAAATACCAACAGTCAGGCTGTGGTAATCATGGATGAGACAGTTTAATTTAACAAAAATAAAATAAAATAAAATTACACAGGTCACAATGGAAGGCAGTACCATCTCAAAGAATCAGCCTAGAAAACAGCATCCATCTTCACTAACTACACAAAAGGAATGCAATACCTTACATGAATCTTAGCTACAGTCCCTAGCTGGGGAGCAATAATAGACTCTTCACACAGGAAGGGAAAATTACACTATATTGTGCTAAAAATAATGAATAAGCCCCTGCACCTTTATTTCTAGATACTTTGTTGAATGATGCTTTAACTGAAAGTGGGGGTGGGAGAGAGTTATGTTTATGTCTACACAACCACATTTACTGATTAGCTGAACTACTGTATTGCTTTGGACTCATACTGCAAACTTGGGAAAACTGGATTTCAAAAAACATACCTCTAGAGCAAAAATTAACCAGCACTAATACTGTTTATACTCCCCTGGCTCTAATTTACCATAACTATGATAACAGAACAAAAGTGGCACAAGCTGGACTTGTGAAGTTTTCAATGCAGAGTGCCATCTGCTGCACATACACAGGATGTCTCCTATGCAAGATTCAATCTCAGTGTCTCCCAGGGACCTTTATAAGAGAAAGTTGTTTGTTCTCTTATTGCCTATTAAATGTGTCTCAAATCAACATTCGCATATAGGACAATTATCATTCATATGGTTTAATATGTCAATACTTTCCTAATATTTTATAAGGGAAGAGAGATGTGAAGAAGCAATTGTACCTGATAATAAAAAGAACACAAAAAGAGAATCAGAATATTTGTAGTGAATGGGAATCCCAGAACCACTGCATATTAGCTGTATAATGTGGGCCTCACTTTCAGGCACAAAATGTCAATAATTAAGCAAATCTCTAAGCGATACCTTTCACATTGAGTCTTGTGAGGATGGGAATAGCTGTATACATTATGGATTCAGAGCAACCACAGAAAAAGACCTGTTTACATATTTTAAATAATTAGGTACAACTTTTTTCAATATCTTACAATCCTAATTTCATTTACAAGTTAACATTCCCATGATAACACTTCTGCCCTTCAGAAATAACACTTCATTTTAATTGTGTTTTCAGTTACAAATTCAGCACACCACTTTTACCCACCCCAGAATAGCACAGAACACTTTCATAAAGTACCCACACAGGGAAGACACTCACAGCTTGACAGTTCTCATAGTGGAAAATACACAAGGCACAAATTTTAAAATGCTAAATGAACACCACACCCAAATAATCTTATAAACAAACTGTGCAAAGTGAGAAAATATATTATCAAATTATAAAGATAAAGACAACTTGGGAAGTCTGTAAATTGAGAGAGAGGGGAATGCAATCAGATTCTTGGGTAGCTTTATGTTTTTTAAAGGTTTTTAAAGCGAACAAAACATTTAGCTGGAGGCTATGAAACATGCAAATCTAAACTGAACTGTGGAAAAGCTAGGCTCTCACCCAAAAGCTTCAGCAAAGCAATATGTCAGTGTGCCATACAATTTTCTCACAGAATGAGGATAGGGTCCATACCTATGACTATTAATAACAACACCATCTTGCTTTTACAGAGCATTAGTTCTTTCCATAGCTTTAGATACTTAATTGTATGCTGTCATCAGTATTGGTTATCCTCTCTGAAAACCTTCAGTTCCGTTTTCTCTCACGAGCAAAGTGAGCTAAACAAGACAGCGATGTATTTGTTGCGAGCTGACGGTACTAGGTTCTGAGATCCAACTGTCTGCAGTGATTCTCTCGTTACCACACCATACAACTTAGCCATAGGAATAAAACCCACACTCTATCAGAGCTGGTCAAAGACCAACACGTATGGCTCTAGAAAGTCCAAGGAAAGAGAACAGGCTAACTTCTTAGGTCAAGAACTCCATGCCAAGTTGATTCCTTGCAGTTGAAAAAAAAAAAGAAACCACACACCCCAACGCTGTTGAAATAGAAACTCCCGTGCGTTGCCAGCCAATGAAATCCAGCAATAACTGGTTAATACAACCACCAAATCCCTGCCTCTGCGAGCAACTTGTCATATTCGCTCCCCAGTGCCTGCTGCCACCCTTCTTTCTTCAGGCACGCTGAACAAGCTGACAAGCCAGTCCTCCAAAGAAGGACCACCGAGGACCTTTAAGGATCCGAGGATATGGAACTTGCCTCCTGAAGCAATGCAGCATCCATCGCAAGGAAGCTGTTCCCCATGCCCACGCACGCAGAAGTCACAGAGGGGGATAAAGTTTGATTTTCCTTCATGCTCGTTCCCAAGGAGGCCGAGACAGGACGAGGAAGCGGCCCCGCTGGGGGCCTGGGCTGCTCTCGGGGGACAGTTCCCTGCAGCGTGGCTTTGACACACACGCACACAAGGCAGCCACGGACTCAGGACACCCCAACCGGCCCGGAGGAGGAGGGAGGGGGAACAACTTGCCCGGGGCTCAGCGCAGGAGCGAAGGGGCAGAGCTGTTAAGAAAGGAGGAGGGAGGGAACCAAGATCGGGGGCGGGTCAGTGAAAGGTTCGAGCCCCGAGCCCTCCCCGCCCTGGTGTGCCGGTCCTGCGGGCACATCCCGCCGTCGCCCCTCCTCCTCCTCCCGGTTTCCTCCGCCCGCCTCCCTCCCGGTCGCCGCCGCAGGCGCCTGAAGGGCAAGGCGGCTCCTCGGTGCCCCGCAACCTCGTCAGCGGCCGGGACTGGAGCTCCACTAGCCGCTGCCCCGGCGGCCTTTCGGTTCGCGGCGCCCACACAGCAGCACCGCCCCGCCCTCCCGGAGCCGCCGGGCGCGCCCGCTCACCGTCCGGTGGTGGTGCTGCTGCCGGGGGCGGCTAACGCCCAGCCCGGGGAAGCAGCCGGCAGTCAGCGCCCCGCAGCTGCCGCCGCCCCGGGAGCAGAGAAGCAGCAGCAGCGATCTACCTGCGCCGGCCGCCATCTCTCAACTGGAAACAGCGGCAGCCAGGCCCGGGTGGCACGGCTGGGGCGGAGCTAAGAGCCGCCACTCACTGGCGCAGAACCAACTACCGCCCTTCGCTGTGGCCCTGAGGCGGGGCTTCCTAAGAGGCCCAATCGATAGGCGGGAGAACCACACTCCGGGCTGCCTGTCTAGTGCCATAGGTACATGGGGTTACCATGGTGGGCCGTACTGAATTAGGGGCCAATTCTAGGCACCCGAGCCCCTCTGATAGCAGCAATTGGCATGTCCGACTCGGATAGTCTTCACCAGGATAAAGCGATGATAAGTATAACTGGGAAAACAGATTCTCATGCAAAGCTTTGTACTTCGTAAGTGTTCTAATTTGACAAAGTAGGCATCAAATTAATAAATCATTAACTAGGTTTGCTGGAACTCTCAGTGGCACGCCCAGAATTGTCATTCGTAACTGATGGTATTTGGAGTGAGAATGACTATAAATAACAAAGTTCCAGGATAAGTATATGCCATCAGAGTGATTTAACGGACCTCTATACATATTCAAATACTCAATTCATATTTACAGAACCCTTACACCGATATTCTTACATGCTATCTTTGATCTTATGTACAGTTATTTAAACTATGGAAACAGGGCCTCCCTGGTGGCACAAGGGGTTAAGATGCAACCTATGAAGCTGTCTGCAGTCTCTGCAGCACAAGTTCGATCCCTGACCGGCCAGGGAGCAACTCACATGGCGCAGCAGACCTCTCCTGTCTTGTTCGCTGCTCCCCTCACCAGTATATTTCAGACAATCTACCTGTTTTGTTCCCTGCTCTGTCTCTGGTGAATCCTCTAGCGTTCCCCCCACCCCCATGCCTCTGGCCTGTACCCCTACTCTCGTATGCATAAATAAATAAATAGGCCCTCCCGGGTTGAGCACAGGGCTGTGAGGCTGTCCGCAGCCTCTGCAGTGCGGGTTCGATCCCGGCGGGAATCCCACGTGGCGGCGGGAATCCCACGTGGCGCGGGGCAGACCTCTCCTGTCACACCTGCTGCTCCCCTCAGAAGTGCATTTTGGTCCGTCTGCCTGTTCTGCTCCCCGCTCTGTCTCGGGTGAGTCCTCTCACCCGCCCATGCCTCTGGCCCGTACCGCAGCTCTTGTATAAAAATGGATAAATCTTTAAAAATAAATAAATAAACGATGGAAACATGTCGGTAATGTAATAAAAATCATGTGAAAGTTGCTACTTAATGAATTTTTATAATTTAGCTAAGTGAGACAATAGATACACTTTAGACTAACTCTTGATCACTTTCTCTTGAAAAAATACTTCTTTCCACAAGAAGCAAGCTCATATTAAGAGCTTATTGAAGATCCTGTAGGAAAGGAGACTTGGAGTTTCTGAATTTCCTTAGAAGAGGATTCTTTGCTGTCTATTAGTATGAGTTGGTTAATACTTAGAAGTTCAGTAAGTGGGGGGAAAAGTATTATTCTAACTTTTGGAAAACATCTTGGTAGTGTAGCCTTTGATAATAAAGTTGAAACTAACAAAAACCCAATTTTATTGTGTCATTTCTTGTAATATTCTTTAAAATTTGACCCAAATAGTAGTTTTGAGGCCAGGAATAGGCAAATGAATAAAGCGGGGCTTTGGGTTGTTTAATCTTTCTACCCCACCCCAGAACAGTAGCATGATTGACTTCTCCAGGTGAGTCTATCATGCTTGTCACCCAAAAGGCATTTATTGCCCAACAGTGGAAACTAAGAGCTCAGGAATGAGATGAGTCCCCTGTTAAACAGCTGCACAAACTAATCTCTCTTGTTGAAAAGCTGTGATATTCCTGGAGCAACTTCACTTACAATCATTTCCCGCCCATCTATTTTTGTCCCATCACATTTTCTATATCTGCCTATGCCATGTCATTTCCCCTTCTTTCTGTCCCTCCACATCTTTTTACTAGGATTATGATGGATTTTACTTTTGTTCTTATTTTCTGTGCCTTCAACAAACCTGGCTATGAATCAGGATTATGTCCTCCCTCTCCATCTTACACTTGGAGAAGTTCTACTGGAATTGCCTTTCCCCTATTTTTCTTTTATTTGCCCTATTTTGCAGCGCCTCCTAGGTGCCCCGCAACCCAGTCAGTGGCCAGGAGTTGAGGTTAACTAGCCCGCTGCCCTGGTGGCCAATGGGCTCTACAGACTAAGATTTAGTTTCGGGCATTTACAAGTGAATTACAATAAATAATTTTAAACGCATACGCCAGAAAATGGGGGGATTACCAAAAAAATTTCTTCTTATCTATTTATCAATGTGTAAGCTTTTATTCACTAAGAGGAAAGTTCTGATGCACTACAGGTAGGCTGGATAATTTTAGGATCCACAGAATAAACTAAATTCTAATAATCCAGGGCTAAACAAGTATCAATTAACTTCACACAAATTTTTCCATAACTGCAAATGACACATCTCAGATTAGCTGGCTACTAGGGTCTATAAGAATAGAGTATATACAGGGCAACAAAAAGTCATCATAGATATATGTATATACATATATACATACATATGTATATACATACACATATGGCAAATATACATGACAAAATAGACAAAGGATAAGGGAATTAATATACCATTTAGTATGTACTATAAACACTGTGTTGATCCCTCTGGAGATATTACACTTACATAGCCTGTCAACCACAAAAAATACTTACAAACATAACTTTTTAAAAAATATTTTTAAAAATGTTTTTATTTAAAGAGCCTCCCCGGTGGCGCAGCAGTTGAACACTGGGTTGCGAAGGTGCCCGCAGACTCTGCAGCACTGGTTCGATCCACGGCTGCCGGGCGAGAGTCCCACGTGGCGCGCAGACCTCTCCTGCCGCCTGCTGCTCCCCTCAGCAGTGTATTCCGTCAGTCTGTTCTGCTCCCAGCTCTGGCTCTGGTGAATTCTCTCACCCTCCCGAGCTTCTGACTGTACCCAGTGCTTATATAAATTAAAAAAAAAATTAATCTTTAAAAAATAAAATAAAATATTTTTATTTATGCATACAAGAACTGGGGTACAGGCCAGAGGTGTGGGAGTGAGAGGGTTCACCAGAGACAGAGAGGGGAATAGAACAGGCAGACGGACTGAAATACACTGCTGAGGGGAGCAGCAGGTGAGACAGGAGAGGTCTGCTGCACCATGTGGGTCACCTCCCTGGCCAGGGATCGAACTCGTGCTGCAGAGGTTGCAGACAGCTTCACAGTGCTGTGTCTTAACCCCTTGCACCACCAGGGAGGCCCCAAAACATTATATCTTTTGAGAAAAAATTTGAGGAGAACCTCTATGTCTTTCAACAGGGAATTGGTTAAATAAATTAGAGACTAACACAATTAAAATATTATTCAACCAGGCCTCCCCTGGTGGCGCAGCTGTTGAGCACTGGGCTGCGAAGCTGCCCGCAGCTTCTGTAGCATCAGTTCTATCCCCGGCCACCAGCGAGGGTCCCACATGGTGCAACAGACCTCTCCTGCCACGCTCGCTGCTCCCCTCAGCAGTGGACTTCGTCAGTCTGCCTGTTCTGTTCCCCGTTCTGGCTCTGGTGAATTCTCTCACCCTCCCGCGCTTCTGACTGTACCCAGTGCTTGTATAAATAAATAAATAAATCTTTAAAAATATATATATCATTCAACCATTTTAAAAAGTAATATAGCATAGATGATTTTCAGGGATCAAATACTCTTAATTATGTATTTCTATTCGTAAATACTTATTTTTCTATGTAGCAATGGTTTAATGGTTACAGAGAAGTTTCTTCAACTTTTTTCATATCAATACTCTTTTTAAAAATTCTTTTATTGAAGTAATGTTGGCTTACACTGTTGCTTGTATTTTGGAAGTAAGGCTTCTCCCCGCCCTCAGGTGTTGTTACCATAGTGCTCCCACCAGCACCACCATAGTCCATTGTACCCCCTCCCCAGTTTGTTCTTACCCCCTTCCTTCCCCTCCTCCTCTGGATGCCTGTTAATAGATTCTTTTAACGTTTTATATATATAATAGTTATATAAAATTATATAGTTTTAGTAACAAAGTTGATATATAGAGCTTAGACAGTTCTGGAAGAATAATCAAGAAAACATGTTGCCTTGGGAGGGGGGTGTCGAAGGAATTGTTATCCTTTTGAATGGTCTTTTTTCCACCTACATGTTATTTTGATACTTATAGAAACATGATCACTGAAACCTACACAGTTTCAGTGTTCAGATAAATTGTTATCTGTGTCAATCCTTGAAACAGGTTATTTTGCTTTGTTTTTAGCTAAAACTAATCAGAGCATTTCCCGGAGCATGTTAGCTCCTAAATATGACTCAGCTCAGTGGAGTATTTGCCTATGCATTCCAGAGCAGTCAGGGGAGGTGATGCACAGAGCTCACTGACATGAAGAAAACATGAAAGGGACCTGCTAGGAGATCTGGGGGCTTTGTTTCATGGTCTGCTGAAAATGTGAATTATTATTCAAATAAGATCAATAGTTTTTAAAAATCTGAAAAAGTATTATGACGGTGAACAAGAAGAAAGCCTTCAAATAGACATGATCTGTTTTCTGGCTATTTCACTTCATTATTATTCCAGATATCATAATTCCCATCTTTTTACACCTACGCATTGGCAGCCATCTCTCCATCACTACCACTCACTTTCCCATGACTTCCTAGTTTTATGATCTTTTAAGTCCTTTTTCTGTTTGTTTTTCAGGATTGAAATCACACACTGGATCATTTATATATTCTATGTACATAATTTATACAGGTAGATTTTGTGTGGCAGGAGTCTCAGGGCCTGGCCTAAAAAAGGGTTTCTGACTCTATATTCATTTGATGTCAGTGCCCCTATAATCTAACATTCTTTCAGATCAGAAAAATACAGTCTGCAAATTGTTGGATTTTGGGTTTTTGTTGTGGGTGTTTTTGTTTTCTTGTTAGTTTGTTTTGTCAAAGCAGAACACCAGGAAAACACTGGGTTGAAAAGAC